GGGCGGGGTGCGGGCCGGGACGGGGAAGCGGGTGGGGTCTGTGTGCAGCGGACCGGTCCGCGGACGGCCGTCGCTGCCCTTTCTGAGCCTCCGAGAGATGGCGACAGTTCAATTTGATACACCTAAGGAAGGGGAGGATACAGATTAAAGTTCGGCCGCCACCTTTGAATCTCAGGCAACGCTGTGTTCTGGGCCGGGCGACTGATGGGGGAGCCAGAGCTAGTTTCGGGGGATGATGACCTTGAGGCTTGGATGCCAGTGTCCACAATGATGTTCGCTTCGACACCTTAGTCCCCTGGCTCAGGGCAGAGCGAGCTTTCTTAGGACTCGGTCTCAGCTCTGCTCACCAAGCTCTCAAGTTCTCTGGCTGACTCCTCTCGTCCACGACTGTCCACGGAGTTTTATGTTTAGGAGTAAAGCTGGTCCACCCCTGCCCCAGTCCTTCCAGCTCACTGGCTTCTCACAGGCCTCTCGGTCTCAGGAGAGTTCCCACCTTGCCCTCTGGTGGGACAGGGAGCCCAGTGTCCCCTGCTTCCCACCCAGACCCGACATCCCTGGCCGATAGGTCCCTAGGGCACGAGGACACGAGGCTCGGTGACCTACCGTCACCAGGTCCCAGCCCTGTGTTTTCTCCCCAGGTTGCCCATTCTGCCTGAGGGGTGCAGCCTCAACTTCACCTGCCTCAATGGTGGCCTCTGCAAGGCTGGGCCTGGAGATGCCAACTGCAGCTGCCAGGAGGGCTCTGCTGGCCAGAGGTGGGTCTGAGGGCCAGGGCAGTAGGAGTTGGCCTCATAAGCATGGAGGACTGGGCAGGGTGGCTTTGGTCCCTGCCAGCCAGGGCAGTGGAGTGGGGGCCTTCACTGCCCGTCTCATCCTCACCGGTATCACAGTGCCAGACAGACCCAAACTGTCACTTGAGTTCTTTCCTTCGGGCACATGCAAACCCTTTCTCTGCTAGGTAGATGCTGCTGAGTTTCTTAGAGCTGGGTCCTCAGCCATGCCCCCTCCCCCCGGTAGACTGGAAATGCAGTCCGGGTCTCCAGACAGTGTCCCTGGACCCCACTTGTCTGTGAACACGCTTCTCATGGAGGGTCCTCTGTGATCACAAGTGCTGGGCTGAAGGAGGTGGAGGTGGTAGAGATTATGTTCAATTTTGGTTACATGGCAGGGTCAGCTAGAGTAACAGTGCCTCTTGGGGATGGTGGATGATCTTTGCCGTTTGGTTGGGGTGGGCAACATGAGGCAGCAACGGGGGTAGCAGCCCACTCAGCACCCGCCGTGCCCCTCCACAGGTGCTGGAGCCCCACCTTGCCCTGTGAAGCTAACCCCTGTTTAAATGGGGGCACCTGCCAGACATCGGGTGGGGTGTACGAATGCACCTGCAGCTCCGGATTCTCCGGCCAGTTCTGTGAAGTGGTGGTGAGTGACGGACAGGGCAGAGGCTGTTTTGGGCTTCAGTGGGTGAGGTGGGATGGGGAGTGTGCTCAGCAGTGAGGGCACAAGGATCCTGGCCAGCACGGGCCAGGGGCTCCCCACAGTGCCCAGGGGAATGGCAGAACAGGTGGGCTCTGCCAACTACTCTGGCACCATGATTCAGGGCCCACAGGACCTGGGAGCCTGTAGCTCTAGGGGTTTCTGAGCCAGGGCAGGCTTGGCTATGGTGAAGGTGTCCCTGGTCCTGGGGAGGCTCAGCTGAGGAGAGTCCTGGACAGAGGGGAGCAGCACCCCAGCACAGGGGTGGAGTAGACGCTGCACCTGGAGGGCAGTGAACCCGTGGTGGTGCAGGCAGAAGGAGCTCCGGAAAAGTAGTCTGGGGAGAAGCCTTGATCTCCACAGGCTGCTGGGCAGCCTGGTCATAAACTGCAGATCCCCCATGTCTCTGGGGAATGTTTCCTTTCAAGTTGAACTTTTATAGCTCTGACGTCCCCACCCACCCTCCTCCCAGGCCAGGGGAAGGAAATGACTTTACATCTCCTCCAGCAGTGCCAGGGTGGAGGCTTTTGAGGACCCACCCAGGACTGGAGCAAGCTCTGGGGGCCCTTTCTCAAGTGTGTGTTCTGGGCTGGGGACACAGGTCATGGCTGGCTGAGGAGCCTCCAGGTACAGAGGGAGAGCTGGTGAGCTGAGACCCCTGAGCTCCGGAGTGCTGTGACTCCGGGACTTTAGAATTCCAGGCATGCAGACCTGTTTGATGAGGGCATCCTGGGGGTCTGTGACTGGAGATGGGAGGAGGTTCCCTGAGCCCTGCAAAACCTGGCCCTAGTCTCCCAGGGACAGCTGTTAGAGCAGCCCCTCAGACAGGCAGGCACAGGAGGACTCTGACCTCACTGTCAGCAGAACTCAGTCACCCCCGACTCCCTGCACTTCGTGGCAGGTCACATGGAGTCCCATGAACAGTGCTCACCTTGTGTCCTAGACACGCTGCAAGTACCTGCTTCCTTCTTCCAGCTGGAACCTCAGTCAGGCAATACCCACAACCCCAGCGGCTCAGCACATGACTTCAGGAAGGCACCCGCTTGCATACCCTTAGGGCTCGGTGCTCCCTGCCTGGATTTTCTCTGAGCACATCCTTGTGTACCTTTCTCTCCTACAGAAGGGCCTGCCCCTGCCACTGCCGTTCCCGCTGCTGGAGGTGGCTGTGCCTGCAGCCTGTGCCTGCCTCCTCCTCGTGCTCCTGGGCCTCCTCTCAGGGATCCTGGCTGCTAGGAAGCGCCGCCAGTCAGAGGGTACCTACAGCCCGAGCCAGCAGGAGGTGGCCGGGGCCCGGCTGGAGATGGACAGTGTCCTGAAGGTGCCACCTGAGGAGAGACTTATCTAGGTGATCTGGCTACCAGTGTCACACCCACAGGTCCTATAGGATTTCCAACTGGAGACCCAAGAAGGCTGCTTCCAGGACCGGACATCTTCTGGGAGTGTGCCCACGGCTGGCAGCCTCTGCAGATGCCTCATCAGGGACTTAGGAAAGGGGAACAACTCAGGGAAGCGGAGGGGTGCCTTTGAGGTTGGGTGCCTCTCCCTCTGACCCTCCAGGCTGCCCCAGCAGGCATGTGGCTGTGTACATGAGGGCACATGCAGGTGCAGGGTGTGTGGTCAGGAGTGTGTTGGTGAATGTGGGCGGATGTGTCAAGACTGCAGACTCCAGTGTGGGTGTTGTAGTGTGTCTCGTGGGTGTGTCTGCCTTTTGCCATGTGCACGTGACTGTGTCGTGGGGGGCAGGTGACCCCATGGGGGAGGTGGCTGTTGTGAGACGGGCAGCCCAAGGCTGCTAGTTCTCCAGGAGGTTCAACCAGGGCTTGCCGGGTACTAGGGCTTCAGTCCTGGCATCTTCTCCCTGACCAGGGGCAGTCTCTGCCCTAGAGACTGCCGGGAAAGCAGGGAGGGAGGACACTGGATGGGCTCCTGGCTCCCAGAACAAAAGCGCCTTCAGGCAGATCTGTCCTGCCAGTGCTAGAGCCAATCACACAGGGAATCTCAGAGCCGTCCACCAAGGCTGTCTGTGCTGGGCAGGCTGCAGGAGCAGAGGATGCAGCCCTGAGCTCTCCCGCCTGGCTGTGGGTATTGGCAGATGGATGCTTCCTGCCTACTCACGGGACTGCTGTGAGGATCGGGGCTGACAGTCAGGGACGGAGACATGACGTTGTTAAACTCCTGTCTGGTGTGAAGGACGGCAGAGCTGTGTCCTCTTAGGTACCACAAAGTGTCACCTCCACTGGTCAGAGTGCGAAAGAGCCTTCCTGGAGCCTAGCAGGGAGGCCAGAGGGGTACAGGGATGGAGGAGACTCATTGCCTGAGCACATTCTGCGGCATCTGCTCCTCAGGCGGGTCCTGTGTGGCTGTGGGCTGACCTGGGGAAGGTGCTGAAGGACACCCTCAGAGCTCAGTGCTGTTGGAACCAGTCCTGCGGGGCCAAGTTGAGAGACTGAGCTGTATCCCTCTCAATCTTCATCACAGTGACCTCGGATCAGGCCTCCACCGGCCTCACGGAGTCCCTGTGGCCTGGACACGAGCCCTTTTATTTCTCAGGCTGGCGCCTCCTGTGGTGTGGGCTCCAGTGCTATGGCCAGGAGCCCCTTTACACTGCTAATTTTCCCTGGCCCCCATTTCTAGAGGTACAGCTCTGGGGACTCGGGGTCCAGCAGAGGCTGGGGTGGGGGCTGAGATCTGTTTTGTCCTTATCCCAAGGAAGTAAGGCTGCTTTTCCCCACTCTCTCCACACCTGGGAGAGGGCAGAGCGGCTTGGTTCCCTGGCTGGCTTATCAACTTGCGCCAGCTACAGGCTACTAAAAAAGGACATTTGATGTGGAACTTCAGCACAAACTGCTTAACTCTGGCGATGACGGCCACTGTGTGACCAGCCCATCTGTCCCCTTAAAACAAACGCCCAGTAAGGCTGCTGTCTGACCCGAGGCTCTACCCTTGCCCATGAGACCTGCGGGGGTGACATCAAGGTGTCCCCTTGAACTTGTTTTCCTGGAGTCCGAGTGCCCTGGGTACCATTAGTAGCCTACAGCCCTGCTCTGTGGCTCTGTCACCAGAGCACCCACACCCTGCCTGTGGGAGAAGGGGGTGGCTGGTTCCGAGCCCCGACTGAGACAGACAGGGATGGGTTGGGGTGATGAGGGTTGGTAAGGGTGTCTGAGGGGCCACTCTGATCCTCTTGTAAGGACACAAGGATGCCAGCCTTTTCCCCAAGAAGATTTTATTGAATGCACACAGAGTTCATCCTTGGGTTTGTGGATTCCACCTGGTGCGTGGAGACAGTGGTGCTCAACGAGGGCCTGTAGTGCAGGCCACCAGCCCCCAGCACAGCCAGGGAGACCGTGGGGCCTGCCCGCTTCCCTGGGCCGCCTAGCAGCCTGGGCTGTCCTTTCCCCGATGGGCGTGGAGCCCGTGCTGCAGCAGCCGGAGAGCACTGCTGGATGGGACACGCTTGTGCTGGGCCACAGCTCACTTGGCGAGGGCTTCGTGCCACGTAGCCCGGGCTGCACCAACTCCTGAGCAGCTGCGCTGCCCTCCCAGCCCCTCAGACACAGGGGACCCCGAGGCTCCCTTGTCCCACCAGACACCCCCGGGGAGACTGTTGTCTGACCATTCACTAAGAGGAAATGAGGAATCGGGTCAAAATGCTTACAATTTCCTGCACGTCTCAGATGGTTGTTTTCTTAAATGGCTGGGCTGTTTTTTAACTTGGTTTATTGAAAAGAGTCAATTTTCAAGATTCATCAAATCAATAAGGTAAAAAGGAAAGGAAAGATAAAAGAAACAGTAACAATACATTCCAGTTTAACTTTGGTGATGTTGGCCTCAGGGATTTCTGTGCTGGCGAGCTCAGGTGGGTGAGGAGGGGCTGGTGCTTCGGCTTCCACGTGTGTCCACTCCACAGGGGCCTCATCCTGCCCCAGGTACCCAGGCAGCTGTGCCACCTGTTGGTCTGTGGCCTCTGAGTTGGGATCTGGGTGGCTGCTGCTCAGCTCTGCCCCCTACGTCCCAGAGGACAGGAGGCTGAGCGCCCCCCTCTGACAGTGACAGGAGACAGCCTGGAGGTTCCAGGTGCCAATCAGTCTGTGGGTTTTTGTTTTCTTCTGCAAACTTCTTCAGCGTTGCTGGTGTGCCCAGGCCCCACACAGGAATGTCAGGCTGGGTTTGGCCACCACGACGGACCCGGAGGAACACCCTAGGTCCCCAGCAGCTGGGACTGGTGAAGAGCGTATCGCTAGAGGGTTGGGATGGGCCCTCACTCCACCCCACACCCCCGTGTCTCCTGCGGACAGCTCACCCCCTGGCCAAGCTCACACTTGTGCCTGTTGAGGGGCAGTCTCGGGCCGGCTGTAGGATGGACAGGAGAGCTGGACTCCTCGTGGTGTGGGGCGTCTGGAAAGGGGGTGCCAGGGCGCGGTCTGGGGCAGTTGCTGGCCCAGCTGATTCTAGTGCAAAACCCAAGCCGGGTGCTGAGGAGGGTATGGGAGCTCGGGCACTTTCCAGGTGGTGACTGGCACCGTTCCCCAG